GAAAAGAAAAGCTAGAGTGATTAGACTCACCTTACATAAATGTTAAATTGTATTTGCTTAAGCATTCAGCAAGTAATTAGTATTTGTACATAAACGATTTTGCAAGTAGGAGTCCTGAGAGCTAGTGACTTCATTTTTATCCCATGCACAGCAGTATCACAATCTCACTTATTGATGGGGGAGTGGCAAGAGGAAATTAGGCGGCTGCAGTACCAGATGAGCAGAGTTCCTAATTACACAGTTAGTCTTTGCCATGTAATTAGTTCCGCTGACTGATGCTGACACTGCTTGCACACTCAAAGTTAGTGGCTGTTCAAACAGCTTGCTGAAATAGGGTCCTGAAGCTGTTGAAACCTGCATTTAAGCAGGATTTAAAGTGCAGGCAGTTGTTTCTGTACTAGTGCACATATCTACATTCTTTTGCTTAGGTTTTTTTCCATTTGCGTATCCTCCCATACAAAAATGCATACAGCAAGTTTCTAAGAACCTTTTCTGATCACGTATCCTAGGTACACAAAGCTATAAATCTTCATGCTGCAAGCAAAGAATGCAACAACCAAGTTCTGATTATTCTCTGGACCTGGTCAAAGAAACCTGCATCACCATGGAACTTCTAAACAGAGAAGCTGAGCTTCATAAAGAAAATGTTACTTTGTCAGGAAGCAGCAGTCCAGAAGATGTCTTCAGTCGCCATGAAACGCAGGCAGTATCCATTTGTATGGACACCACCAAGCCTTCAGGTGACTACATTCGAAGACGAGGTTATACGGAGTCTTCACTTCTGAAGCCTTCCACAGAGGAGTGCATCAGGAGCCATCATGCACCTTTCCAGTTTGACCGGCATGCTTTGGCCAGAATTTCCACTTCTCCAACTTTAAGGCGTCTAAGGATGGCCTCTGCCTCACAAGCACTGACATTTCAGGACTGCTCTGACACAGCTCAGCTGGGGAATCAAAAGGAATACAGTGGCTCTCTCCATCACATTTGTAAGAGTCCACCTCGGTGCACTACAGCTTCCTCATTGTCACTGTCTTCTTGTGTCCATGCAAAATTACTGTCTTCCAAAGCCAAGTCTGAGACAACTATTGCAGATTCAGACTCTGCCAGCCCCAGATCAAAGCTGCTGAGCCAAGAAGATTCTCTCAGCAATGGCAGTCCCAATGAGACACTCCAAAACTCTTCGAGGGCTAGCTCTGCTACACTGCCTAGGAGACTTCCCTGGCCCAGGTCTACACCGCAGGAGGGTGTCCAGGTAAGAGGACTAGGATGATGAAACCTCCTTTTCAGTCTTGCATATTCAGTGTTGGTCCATCATGGCCCAGTGCATAAACAAAAACACAGTTCTTAACCTGAACTGCAACCTGGCCCTAGTTCCTTTGCTACAACAGACCAACTTCTACACTCCAGGAAGGGAGATTTTTCCTTCCAAATCAGCAAGAGACAATGGTTCCAGCCTTGTCTCTTGGTGAGCAGGTTGGCCTAGTCCACTCCTGCACATGGCTACCCTTTCCCACCTCTGTCCATTCACCCTGATGGACCAGTATAACTGTTTGTGGGGCTATGAAAGAATAAGACTAATCTATCCAGTTCTGGTTTGGGTTTTAGAAGATTCTTTTATTTCCGGGGTCCTTCAGCAGTGTTCTTCCTAAGCCAGGGCAGTTCTCTATTCTGTTTTACTGAATAGCATTACTAACCCCAACAAAACAAGAATTAAGTCAGTCGAGATGGTTGAGCCAAATTTAAGGTTTGCTACTACCAAAGGAAGAGGTCCCATTCCCTTTCTTTACTTCCACTTACCTAGCTCTGCCACTCACTAGCCCCCTCCATTTTTATGTTCAGCTCCATAAATGAGGAGGCAATTGTGCAATCTTTTCTGAAAAAAAGAAACACTGGTCCAGTGAGCGCCAGTGTCAGTAAAGAGAAATAAGCAAGGGAGGAGCCAGCCCTCCGTCTTTCCCTGGCAGCAAATTGCCGTTCAGCTATCCCCCATAACTTCACCCCAAGGAGAAAAGGAGAGGCACTGCATAAGTCAGGTTTGCTACTAGATCTGCTCTCAAAGACCTTGCGTTACTTGCACAAGCAGTTAAATTCGAGGACGTGCTTGATTCTGTCCTTACACAAGGCACCTACACACACATTTCACTGAACGTGGATGGTGTCAAACAGATGTACAGCTCTTTACTAACCACTTGGTTTTGTGCCGCAGCCAAAAGGCTATTTTTGCCCCCCTTCAAATAGAGAAAACATTCTGGCTATCAAATGAGTTCTCTTTCTTTCTCCACAACAGCTAAAATAATTAGCCAATGTCTAAGTCTATGTAGCACATTTCTCTTAACAAATGAGTACTTTTTTTCACAAAATCAGATTGCTTGCTTGCTTTCTGACCAAGTAACAAGAATGTCTCACTTTCTTGCAGAGTGGATTGCCTATACAAAGGTATGCACGTATTTGTTTTATCTTATTCTAAGCTTCATTCTGTATATTTTTTTAACGAATCCGCTTCACTCTAAGACAAAACTGAACAGTGAGGCATGTATGTGAACCTCAGCTTTAATTTGTAAATTTGCTTTGTGAAATGCCTGTCACCAGCTTGTTAAACTAAACTTTTTAATGAGATTTTCTTTCAAAGGTGGCCCTCTCCCTGACACGTTTAGCTATATTTCACGCAATATTTCAGCTGGACCATTGGAGAGCTCTGCACTAGGAACTAACTGCCGAAAGGTCTGGCTGTTTGGATTAGCAGTGTCAAATTTCAGCTTGAAGAATGTGAAACATCTCATAATCTTGAGTGACATTCTTCAAAACATTGTGGGAGGGAAAAGGGAGCAAAGAAGCTAGCAGAACAGCTCAATATTGTTCTCATACGTGAGCAAAGCAGACCTAGGACTGCTACTGGATTGGGGGGATTGTTAATCCTGCAAACTAAGAAGAATTCTTGAATCTTATAAGTGCAAGCAACATAACGTGTTGTGTACTGCAGATCTGTGCAGTGAATTGCATCAAGCTCTTACAAGCAATTATCAGAAAGTAAAATCTTGATTAGAAATGAGTTTGATTCAGCCATGTTTGTTTCCTTAAGACGTTCAAATTTTACGGAAGGGAAACAAAGTTTATTTTCTCCCCAAAGAATGAGGAAGTAGGAGCTAGTACCTCCCTTAACAGCCATACCTCTCTCACTGATGGTGCAGTGCTCACTTTACTGCATGATCCCCTTGAAGATTTCAGGTGGGGCATGCAGGTGAGTGAGGTATATTAAAAGCACTAGCACTTGTAGCAAGGCTTGGGGAAGACAGAAATAGCCTGACAACAAACAGCAGTACACTGCTTTTGTGACTCTACCATAATGTGTTTCACTTCTTAAGGCAGTAGACATCATTAGTTGAGCTTTATCTCCTCTTCTTCCCAATGTTTACTCATTTTTCAGGTAAAGGCTCTGTTATAACCAGCAGCTTGAAAACAGGTCTGTGTTTATTTGGGACTAGGTGTGTTGGAGCAGGCTGATACAGTCTATGAGTCATTACACAATGCGGTTCCCTAGACAAGGCTCAACAGATGTGTGTGTGTGTGTCTATACGTTCACTGTAGAAGAGACTTCTTAGATTTTCTGAATTGTTGTGATTTCCAGCCTACTCTTTAGCATTTTAAATTTACAGTAGAAAAGGGGAGAGGGAGATGGAGAGAAAAGGGAGAGATCTTGGCATCTTGGTGTGAAAACAGGTGATCTGCACCTATTATGGGAAGAGTTTGCACTGATGCAACTCAAAACTATGACACATAAGCATATCTCACTGATGGGGCAAGATTTGTGTGATTTGTAGCAAACTTCAGGGGAGAATTGGAAGAATACTGAAGGCAAAGGGCTAAACAGGAGAACATGGAACATTTAATGTACACACCTCTTGGTGTCACTTGCCTGGCAGATTCAGAGGGAAGCCGCTATATGCTAGCTAGGATATTGGCACTGGACTTCTACCCAAACACCTTTTAAAATCAAGAAATCACACAGGGAACAATGCAAGCTTTGTTGCACAGCCACCAGCAGGAAAGATTGCGAAAAGGATGTTTGGATGATGTATTATGATTTTATTTCTTGTCCTGACCAATATTAGAATGTGCAGAAATGTAAAACAAAAATCACCAGTTTGTGCTTCAAAGATTTTGTCAGGTTGAATTTGGTCTAAGGTCTGGGTAAGGATTGTATGCAGCTCCTCCTTTATCCAAATCATTAGTATAACTCCTTACCAGCTAATCCCTTCTTATCGGAGCCAGAGAAAACTGCTGAAATGTCAGATTATTCTCTCCATCTAGAAGCGCATTGGGACAGTTGGCAACCCTCCTCCAAGACTGACTTATATATCATCCAGCGTAAAAACACACTTCCATCCTTCAGTTTTAATGAACATCTTTTCTCCTCGCTCCCAGGCTGTACTTTCCAAAGCCTTTCTTAAAGCAGCAATGCTCATTTTAAACAGCCTTCCCCCACACAGCCCTCAGTCAGGAATG